TTTATATATTATTTTAGATAATTGTTATATTATTTTAGATTGATATATTTGTTATATTATTTTAGATAATTACTTTTTAAATGAATTAACAAGATATATATTCTCTTTTTCTTAATTATAATCTAATGCATTATTAATCAAACATATTATTAATTTTGCGTGATACTTACAATAGAAAAATGTATCAAAAAAGTTTAAAATTTAAACAGCTATCTCTTTTATATTTTTAGACGGCAATATATGCAAAAATTTGGATTTTGATAAAACGACTATTCTGAACGGATATCTAATTCGATTAAATGCCATTGAGATGGAACCGTCTGTCAAAATTAACTTGAGCTTACCGAAACAAGAAAGATTTCGCGGTGTAAGCTATGACATCATTAATATGCTTTTAAGTAAGCTGAATGCAAGTCGCGAGATTACCATTCTTAATAGAGATGTTTATTCGTCGGGTCATATAGGACCGAATGGTACTTATTTTCTGGCCTTTCCGAGCGACAGCAGAATAGACATTACCATGAATACAAGATATATATTCGAATGGTGGAAAATCAAGTATGTCTCTCATTGTCAGTAGTTTTCAAGAAAATAATTATAAAAATAGTTTATATTATTTTTTTAAGAAGAATCCTCAAATATCCTTCTTCAAGAATTCCTTAAAAATCTAACTAAATTATAAACTTCATACATTAAATAAATAGATTAACATCCATGCAACAATTAAATATATGTGATATATAATAATATATACATATATGTGTGATATACAAGGTATTTCCGGGTTAAATGACAAAACTTAAAATATGAATTTAGGACATCAAAACAAACAAAAATTTTATATAAAAGTTTGTTCGCAAACGCAAAGATTGAAGAGATATTGACTTTTAAAATTATAGAACTATAGGAATAAATAATGTCAAAATAATTTAGATTTATCCTCTTTATTGCTTTACAGTAATCAATTTAATTTAATTATTAAATACATATTTTGTTCAAAATAATGACCTCCAGCCTGGAGACAAGCATTACACTTATCAAAGACAGCAAGTGGCTGACTGACATTGTGCATTCTGAAATTTCTTTGCACGCTTGTATTATTCTCCGTTTTTAATGATTTAAAGTCATTAACACACATTTCATGTACTTTTTGCTTTAGAGCACTCCATTTAAAAAAATTTAATGTGTAATTAAATCCGGTGAACGCGGAGACCAAGCCACAGGTCCAACACAACCGAGCCATTTTCCGGGAAAATGAACATTAAGTCACTGTCGGGAACTTCGGCCATATCATTTTGAACAAAATATGTATTTAATAATTAAATTAAATTGATTACTGTAAAGCAATAAAGAGGATAAACCAAAATTATTTCGACATTATTTACTCCAATAGTTCTATAACTTTAAAAGTCAATATCTCTTCAACTAAGCGTTTACGAGCAAATTTCCAGATTAAATTTTTCTATGTTTTGAGATTCTGAATTCATATTTTAAGTTTTGCCATTTAATCCGGAAGCATCCTGTATAATAATTTTTGTTTAACAATAAATGTTTGTTGAAACTTATCTCTTATTGCGTTGTTTATTATAACTCTTTTCACAGGATAATAAAAACGAAATATAAATAATAAATATAAATAATAAATAAATAGCTAATAATAAAGAGAAAGAGAAAGAGAAGGAACAGAGAAAAAGAGGAACTTCTTCTTTTACGTATTGCATAGTAAATAAAACCTGCATAGACGAGATGTAAAAGTATATTTTATTTATTTTTAGATATCTATATCCCCATATGAGATCAGACATTTGCGTGATAGCGCAACCAAAAAAACAGATCCCTGAATACATCAAGCTAATAACTTTTCTGTCATGGGAAATAATGGTAGGAGTACTCGGGATATGTTTGTTAACGTACATAGTTTTTGTGAAAAGCGTGGGATATATAAAGGCTGGACTAGAGGTGATAAGACTCATAATCTCTGTAGGATTTTTACATTTGCCCAAAATGAATTCCGCAAGGATCTTCATATGTATGGCGTTAATTTTGGTGCTTAATCTAAATGCTCTCTTCCAAAGTCACTTGTCATCTTTGCTCACTGTGCCGGTATATAATCGCGACATCGACAGTATACAAAGTCTCAAGGTAATGAAAAAGTCTCATTTTCTTATTTTTCCTCCTTAGATTTATATCTCAATTCTCGCTAAGTTAGTAATAAATTTTGTATGTATAGTGTGTCCCCAATCTTATTTAAATAAATGTGCCAAATTAATTTAGAAACAATTAACAAAATGTAAAAATTGTTTTTAAGTTACTTTATTTAGAAACTGAAGTCTTATATATCTATGTAGTATAATTAGTGAAGAAAATGTTTTAAAGACAATTTTATTCTTTAAATGATATATTTTCTATCTTTGATATGATAGTAATTGTTGACATGAGTTCAGCAAGCTACTAATTAAAGATTATTTAAAATTATGAAAGATTGTAAATTAATGAAATTCTTTAAAAAAACCAAACATAGATGCTATTAAATTAGAGTTATTATATCAAATTACACATATTCATAAACATAAAAAGATATTTATTGAAATTTAATGAGAAAGACATTCAATTTATCAATCTTCCATAAATTTAAATAACTTTTTATAAAGTTATTAGATATTTTAAGCGCTATCACATTAAGAACAAAAAAAATAATGCTCAAAAAGGGTTGAATTGATTTTTAAATCTCTTTTATTTTAACATCTTTAAAAAAATATTCAATAATGTTATCATATCATCTTCGCAATTTTTATATGAAGTTGTAATATTCCGTATCTTTAATTGCTTATAAAATAATATGTTTAGTTAAATCAGACACAATGCATAATATGCAACAAATAAAATTCTTTTATAAACTTTACAAAATACAAATGTTTTTATAAACTTTACAAATACATTCTCTCATCATTTAGGATCATCCGCTTTATACTATACTTAAATTACAATATTTATTTTTAAGTAAAGCTGCTATATTTGAATTTCAATCACAAATTTTTCATTAAAAATTTTTTAATAAAATAGTATGAATTTAATGATATTTTGATATTAAGTAACATATCTTAGTTTAGTTGGTACTTTTTTCTTAGGATGCCGGTTATACTTTATATGGACCGAAGTTTTTGATGAATCACGATCTTGTACTTCCATTCCGCTATAAAAGTGTCACGTATAAAGATTGCGTGGAACATGTCAAAAATTCATCGACTGCCGCATGTATCGGTGACTGCTACCACTTGGATTATACGAACAAGGATAATGATTTTGTTAGATCAAAAATGCTGCATCAAATGTTACGGTCGTATGTCACCCGTGAGAATTGGCCACTGTACAATCGCATGAATGATATCATACATCGGATGATGCAGGCTGGATTGATTAGAAAAAGTGAAGATGAGATTCTCTGGCAAGTAAAACGCGAGGAAGAGAGAAGAAACGTTTTAACGAAAAAAAGCTTCCATGTAATAACGCTAAAGCAGCTCGCATTCAGTTTTTATTTTCTTGGATTTGGATACGCTTGTGCTATCATAGTCTTTGTGTTGGAGTTGGCAATCGGTGGTTCTATTCCCGTATGTCAAAACAGGAAAGTGGCCGTGAAGAAAGAAAAAAAGAATGCGAGAAAGAAAAGTGAATTTAAAACGGACAGTAAACTTTCAATATTGGCATTAAAAACCGACTTAGAATTCATAAGAAAGCTTAGAATTAAAAGATTATATGAACGCAAGGCATACTCAAAAGAAGAAACAGTGCATATTTAAATCATGCACATTGACAGAGAACGAAGATCAAGAACGATACGTATCAAATATTAATTTGTATACTTTTGAGTTTAATCATGAATTCCTCATAGAGGAAATCATCAAGGGAATAGAATATTTATGACAAAGCGACAGGTTAGACTAAATCGTTTAAATCAGAAATACAGAAAGAGAAGTAAACCAGAGGCTTGATATTTGTTTTCTATATTTTCTTTTTTATATTCGATGTCTTGGATGTATTGATATTTCGGAGTTATTTCGATTACACGTTAAAGTAAATTGTACAAAATAAAAAAAAATAAAAAATAAAGAAGTGAAAAGATTATGAATGTATGGAAGGATGAGCAAAATATATCGATGATGAAAAAAGCATTGTTGTTTGGTCAATATTTTATGTTTGATTAATTCTTTTATCTTAGTTTATTTACTTAGTAATAAGCAAAAATGTCCCGGCGCATGGGAAGCGGTTCTGTATATTATAGCTTATCTATAAATCGTAATCCAGAGCTCTTGATCATTGCACACATTTATAACGAAAGGATTATATTTACAGAAACAAAATAAAATTTGTCATAATAACTGTGCGGTTCAATTTATTATACTACGACTTTGTTAAATTATTAACAATTCAAGTAAAACAATTTTGATTAAAATGTTGTTTTGCACGTATAATGCTAATATATTGTCCGAAATTTCGAAAACTTTAATTATTTTATGATGACAGAAAAGACAGAGCGAAGGAAGAATTATTCAAAAAATATTCGAATTTATTAAATGTTTGAATAAATATCGAAACATAAAAACCGAAAAAACTTAAATCGGATTAAATAAATTTTATTTTTAAATTATTTTATATTAATCAATATTTATACTAATTATTATTTTATAACAATTAATATCCATTAATTATTATTTTATAATAATTTATCTACTTAATAGATTATCACATTATTACTGTGTATAAAAGCATTCTCGCTAAAAAGTCATTTTCAGTTTTAGAGAAATATAATAATATTTATTTAAAAAAAATGAGATATAAAAACATCAGAAATCTTATGCTCTTTAATTTAATCGTCATAATATTGTTTAATATTAATTATAATAATATTTATTTAAATAAATATTATTATAATTAATATTAAACAATATTATGACGATTAATTTAAAGAGCATAAGATTTCTGATGTTTTTATATCTCATTTTTTTAAGACTACATTTCTTTTATTTTCTTAAGTTTTGCTTTCTCTTCGCTACCTTTTCGTCTTTCGGAAGGAAATCGCGAACAAAAGAATCTCGCACACGATCATACGTCAAGAGAATCAGTTTCTTCGTAAAAAATTACGTAAATATATACATAATAATGTGATAATTATGTATATATTTGACTGAGTCATGATGCAACTAGTAAACTTTCCAAACATGTATTGTACATATGTAATGTATATGTGTGTGTGTCTTGCTGTGTGTGTCTGTGTGTGTGTATAATGTGTGTGTGTGTGTGTGTGTATGTATGGATATATGCACTTGTGTCTGTGGGATTATTCGGTTGCAGGGTGATCGAACGTTAAAGCGGAGTTCGAAGGATTACTGATTTCCGGACAAGCGCTTAGGGAGTTACCCGCAGTTACCCGCAATATGTACCCAGGACGGTTAAATTGCACGGGTTGACACAGCATTCCTCAAAGATGCCTTTTTTTGGCTGTTCCCTTCGATAATGCCTGTCGGCGAATTTTTTATTTATCTTCCGTGCTCGGGGCTGGGAAGAGTCGCAATCAAACAAATAACCGGCCTTTTTCATTTCTGAAAAAAAGTGCAAACTTTTGTAACAGTGTGTACAAATAATATAAAAAGATCTGTTATAATATAAAAAGATATGTTAAATGAATTATAAACATTATCAGGAAAAAATCAACTTTAATTATTAAAGTTAAACATCTAATTTGAGCAATGAAAATGTCTTAAATGACAATCGCGCTAGTTTTGATTGGCAAATTTTGTTTTAAAAAAAAGACAGAGTATCTTTATATTTGCGTGTTATTTGCGTCATACAAGGTATATGTATATTATTTAATATAAATGACTAGAAAGTGCTTTCCATGATTGTCAATAAATGGTATATCTAGGTTTTAGTATCAGATTATATGGATTTATTTGACCGATTAAGCCCACTGATAAATCGATTTATGTATCCGAAAAAGATCCAATGCAAATTTCTGTTGTAAATTTTTATATTTATTTTCCATGAAAAATTGAATCAGCGAATAAAAATACTCCTATAATGCTTCTACTTTTTATTGGCATATTTAAAAGTGTGACGATTGTAGAGAGTGCCTTTTTCGACTTAGATGATCCCACTCGAAAATACATAATACGAGCTTACAAGCATTATTTATCAGTGACAAAGTGGTAATTGGTTAATTGCAGACACAGAGATTGATCATGTGCTTAATCGCCTTTCATTTAATACTGTGCTTAAGGAACTATTAAGAAATTGATGGGTTTAAAGCAAAAATTCTCTCATAATTGGAAGCAACTCATAGTCTGTAACGTTCACTTTAAATGTGAAGTTGTATTTAAAGTGAACATTTTAAATTACTGACTGACCTCATCCTTATATTGAGTCATTCAATTAGAAGTCCAGAACAAATTAAACGTTATTTGTACTTTCAAACGAGTCGTTTTATATATTTATGTTAATATTATAATTATTTAATATATTTCAAATTGTAAAATTATTTCACACACACACATATGTATATATTTTTTCAAATATTCAAATATTTTGCGACATCCGGATTTGTATTTAATAATTTAGACAATAATTTATCTCGATAATTCCACTTTAGTTCCATATATGAAATATTCTTTGTATCATCGCGGGTGATATTAATCGAGAATGAAGAAATGCGAACATTAATATTAATGATGCAATCGTTGCATTAAAAAGGCAATTTTTAAACTAAGAGGACCGTGCACGTTCCAGATTGCTTTATTTTTTAAACTTATTTAGTCGAAGGCTGCGTAATGACATCGATAAATAATCGCTGTCCAAAATATTGCCTTATTATAAATATTTCATGTTCTTTAAAAAAACAACTATCTCATTTATGTGATTTTTAATAGATTACAGAATAGATTCATCAGTATATCATATTAATAAAAATATTAAAAAAATTTTTATAAAATATTTTATAAAATATTTATAATCTAAATGGCAATTAAAACATTATTTAACAATTAATTAAAACTACTTCTATTTTATTGTATAAAACACATATGCAATTAAATTATTGTATAAAATTTATTGTATATTTATTGTACATTTATTGTATATTTGATTGATATTAATTTATTGATTGATATTAATTTATTGTATATTTATTGTACATTTATTGTATAAAACGCATATGCGATTAAATTCTAACAATAAGAGGAACATTAAATAATTTATAAATGAATCATGCTGGTTAAACTATCATCTTCAACTATAATTACAAATATTAACATCTGATAAAGAAAACATTGCATACATTTAGGAAACAAATATATTATTTAACATTGTTACAAAAATAGACAATTTTGCTCATTAATCCATTACCGATATATTATCTATCCTATTTGGCATTTGGATTCGTGCATATAAGCGAAAAAAATATCTTCCGTATTAATTAACTTTTATGCTTACCTTCTTCAAAATCTAGATCTAGATCAAGATCTAGACTATTATCTGGATTATTATCTGAACTATCATCTTCACTAGTATAAGGCATATAAGGGCTATTGTACACGCCATGACAGACCTCGCTTAGAGTATCAGCAAGTTTATCGCCACAATATTGCTGGGGTATGTCGAGCTCCTGGTTAAATTCAGGGTTTGTTTTTGCGTTTTTTGATTCCGACACAAGAAATGTGATGGCGATCGTCAGGCTCACGAGCACGTTCAATTGGTTCGTGGACATCTGAAAATATCAGTTCTCATTTAATTACGCGAACGCATACACGAGGCTGGATTAAAAACCGAAAGCAGGGAATATATTATGTATTTATATTTATCAGAGAATTATTTATTATATATTTTATATTTATATCGGAGGGAATAAGCTTTTTCGGAAATAGAAACATAAATAAAGAATAGAAGAATAGAGAATGTAAAACATAAGTGAGCATGTGTTAATTAAAAGTAGATTAAAATTGTGAACAGCGGTGTCATCACGCAGCCTTCGATCAAATGAATTGAAAAAATGTAGTTATCTGAAATACGCGCGGACCAGACAAATTGTTTATGTTAAAATAAAATCTCATAAATACTGATATTTAATGTCTACTCTTTATATATTCGACATACTTCAGCATAGAGATATTTATATATTATTCTAACTGTCCATTTAAGTAATACGGTGACATTTCATTTTCAATAGCTTACAACTAAATAGCGATAACTATCTCAGTGCCTCAATACTTTCATTATATCAATTAAGATCGACTTTAAATGTGCTTTCGATGTAATATCATTTTGTATATCGATAATCTTTTTAATTTTAACTACATCCTTTTAGGCTTCAATTTATATAAATGCACTTTTATTTTGATGTTTCAAGGTTGATGAAGGAATTTATTCGCGATCGATTCGCATACACTATATCATTAGACGTGTCAGAGTCATTACCGCAATAAACACATTGCCCCTTTCAACATACGTAACGCGAATATGGAGCAAATCACTTCTATTTCCGGCGCATCGAAATTAGCGTTCAACTAAGCTATAACTGAAAGAAATGACACGAATTATTTCTAATATTGTTTATCTTTTCCTCGTGATTAGTAGGACTGAAAACACGCGTACATTTACAATCCGTAGCACTATTGCGCCGATGGATCAAACTTTAATTATATTCACGATTTATTATAAAACTTTAAATATATATGCTGAAATTCAAATTAAATCAACATTCTGTCCTTAAAGTTGATGAGGCAATTTCTAAATGTTATTTGTAATATCTACTTTAAGATTTCTTTTTCATACCTTAAGAGATTATAGAGATTTTGCACTCTGATCCGGAAATTTTTCTTAAATATCCAGTACAATAATCCAACTATAATTTTTCTTTGTCTGAAAGAAACTGCGTGATTGTCAGTGAGTTGTTCTCGTCGATCTGAAGAAGGTCGTACATCTTTCAAAAGGTGAACCCGGATGAGAGAAATAATTGTGTTTATGTTTTGCGAACGCGGGAAACGAGATTCGTAGCATCTTACTGCGAAAATGATAAGCGCGATCGCACATCGTCGATACGCCGTGAGAGCAAAACAAATAAAAATATATCGGCCTAATTTATCGGCGAAAATTAGTTCGTACGTTGTACACGATATAACTCATTATTCTTAAATTTATTTCCGTAATCTATTAATGCAGTAATCCATTTACGTAAGATATTTCTAAAAGAGAAGATTAGCTAACAATAAGTTTAAAATTAGTTTTTTCGCAAGAGCAAATGAAATGTGAAATGAAAAGATCGGGAAATGAATTGTTTTTTGGAACACAAATTTAAGATATTATGTTAATGCATTTTTTCTCAAGTATTTGTTTCTCTTTAATATTACACTTTTGTCAATTTAGACCAATTAAGAATTTATTGATTTCTTTGAATTCGCATAATTTTGCGTATAAAATAAGATATCAGGCTGTATCGCTGCTTCAAATTCTCTTAAATAAAATGACAATTAAACAATAATCATACGTTTCGATAACGATAATTATAATAACGTGTGTGTTGCTCATTGGCTTCTCGTCTGGCACCTTTGATAATTGCAAACAGAGTATTGAACTACATAGATTCTCCCAGCAATCTCAAGAAGAGACGCATTTTACGATAGCGAAAAATCCGTAGATTGAAAAGAGATAAATTTAAAAGTTAATTATTCTCAAGAAATAGATTAATAATTTTATTAATATTTTTTGGAAGTATTTTGAATGTGATAGTTTTTTAAATACTCTGTTTACTAAGCCAAAAATAATTCCCTTTTCATAGTGTTGCGAATGAAAATTTAAAAGTCCAAAAAGTCGATTTAGTATACGTTAAAATCAATCAAGTCTTTTTTAATCATAATGAACACATCTAAAAAAATTGATAACATTATTTTTTCCTATTTCGATCGTAATCTGAAGTTTATGATGGAAGACGTTAAATATAATCCAATAGAATAAAATGAAAAGGACGGGAAGAAGCAAGTATCCTCAATGTATCTAAAATAAAAAGAAAATGAAAAAGGCAACTTAGAAATGGCTTGTTCTTCAAGATTTTGGAGAAATAAATCCACCATCATAGGAGAGAGAAGAAAGCTCATTGGTATATCAAAAGATTATCGATATTTTTTGCATTTAAAAAATTAGAATAGTAGCACTAACAATAAGTGTATACCACTGATAAATTCGGAGTAAAAAATGTTCAGCATTCATAATAAAGAGATGTCACCATTTTTTCAATATCTCTAATGACAAGTCCCAATGGGACGTTCATAAAGGATGAAATGAAGAGAAATGAGCTTATGTTCATTTATAAATTAACTTCATAATTTATTTATGGTTAATTATATAAAAATCGTATTATAAAAATAAAATATGCCATACATATGCAATACAATATGCTTAACATTCGTTTATTGTTCATTGGAACAGCAATGTGTTAGCAGTCTTTCTTTCCGTAAAAAGAATTTCATTTTAAAGAGTTTAATATTGTATTATTATGTAATAAATGTATGTAACAAATTGTGAAAAGAATGTCAAACGTGTCTCCCCCGTGTTCTTTTTTTCGTTATTAATTGTAGGCATATGTCCATTCGCTTTTAATAAAAAAGTTAAATCATCAGACGAACAGTCTTATTATACAGATTTAATCGGTAAGTTAATTTTACGAGAATATATTTGAAATAAAAAACTGAATTTATTTTTATTTATTATAACGACTCTATCCGCATCAGACACCTTTATTATGGTATATTATTAATGATATATTAATTTAACATATTATCATATAAACATTATTGTAAACTTGTCGAAAAAAATTATTTCTTTTTTATTTGTAGGCATATTAAGATTAAACTTTTTACTTTCTTCGAAATTATGTACGCGAGTGAAGTTTGATCATGTAGCATCAAATCAATCAATTAAGTTGAATTGCATATTATTATATTGTAATTTCGACAATCAAGTACATTTCCAATAGTCGTATAATACACAATTCTGTAAAGATAATCTTTTCTTAGCCGCCTTATTGAATTTTGACACATTATTTTTACGCGATCGTTGTATTTCCGGCAAAAATGACAATATACAATTTTTATTTTTAAGTTGCTTGACTTTTATTGCGTAAAACGGAGAGAAAGTAGGAGTAATTTCAGTCGAAATGATTAATATGAGCATTAACAATATCTTCAATCGTTCCATTTTTTTAGCAAGCCGTTTCCTATCGCTTCATTCGTAACAGAGGCAACGATTAAACTTCTCTAACAATTAAAAGATCTGCGATAATTTTGACTTGTTTTATGTAAATTTCTGGTGATTTATGGTAACTCGGTCAGACACATTTGTTAACAAAAATAAACATATTTTCTTTCTTTATGTAATTCAAACTCGCTCTATCGATTAGGGCTAGATATATTATTAACATATATTAACTTCGGAATAAAGTAATGAAGTTTGCCAAGATGCATACGTGTGTATTTTTTTCAAAAATTTGTTAATCTTATTTTAATACATTTTGTTAAATATAATTATGCATTATTGAACATAATTAAACATAATAATACACACAACTCTCTCAAAAATTATCTTAAAATAATGTAGATTTAAAAAGAGAATTAAGACAAAATTTTACTTCAGAATTATACGAAAAATTTTAAATATTAGAAAACATATTATTATAGTAACAAGAATAAATAATGTTATATAGACAAGTATTTAAAATATTGCATATATATATACGCAGTTGTTAAATTACGATATTAACCAAATTTCACATTAAATTCATATATTTTAGTAGGTAAAAATCTTAGCATATCATAATCATATGATGATGACAAAAGCAAACAAATAAGAATAATAAATAATGTTAAAAAACGGTACATATGATATTAGAAAGAAAGAAATGTTTTTCAGATATTAATATTTATTTACACAAGATTTCCCTCCTCATTAAAATAAGGTGATATGAAAAAGGCTTCAAAGTCTTTATGTATGATACCAACATACCGCATTTTCGATGTGTAATTTCCAGGTGATAGTTCGTTGAAATTAAGAACTAAGATTTGCGTTAGATTGTTACAATTATACGTTGCTGGTGTATAGCTAATACCGTTGGTATCAAACAACGATGTGTCCGTTTCATTTATTGTCAAGTCCAATACGTGTAAATGGAAGTTTTGCGTTACATTGCGAATTATGATGTTAACATTATTTTCTCCTTCAAAAAAATACCTTCCAGATATTGTAAAATTACCTTCCAAAATATGTAGTATTAGCTTAATATTGTAGTGAATCGAAACTACATTGTCTGGTAAACGATAATTAATCGCCGAATCATTGCGTAAACCTTTATCATAGAGAATCGCGATAAATATTAGGCCAATGTTGATGTTAAAAATTTTAAAATAGTCATGTCAATTCTCCTTTCAAATATCTGTAAAATATATTTTCAAAAAAATAATATAATATAAACTGTAATTTTAGTTTTATGTTTTATTTTATATGAGTTTTTTAGAGATCTTCGTAAAGATCGTAAAGATCTTATTATAATGATGATGAAGGCAAAAGTTGGACATAAAATAATAATAAATAATATTAAAATAATAAAATAATAAAATAGATTATAATAATAATAAATAAAGAAATAATACATATAATATTTTAGAAGAAACTTTCAACTTTTAATATCAACTTGTATAACTGATTGCTACTTTACTTACGAGATGAAATTAAGACAGTGAACTTATATTATTATATCTTATATTATTTGGTCTTCTCTATTCAAGATATCATCCGTTAGTGACGAACTCGAAGAGATTAAAGCCGTTTACTGTTTGAAGCCACGGGGAAAGTTGTTATTTTTGACCTCAAAAAAGTTATATGACATCGTTAAATGTATTTATGTTGTTGTTTCCGCTTCGTTTTCAACTTTGTAATTTAAAACGGAGTCAAATAAACAATCAAAAAGTAACTGAAATATTAATACATTGCTATTATATAAAGCAATGTAGTAATGCGCTCCCTCGAAAATTGATTTTTTCATGTACATATTGAATAAATCCTTACATTCATCTGAACATAATGCATTTACAAACTACATGTGACATACATAGTGGGATTAGTGTCAGATATATATTTTTTGTAATTTCAAACAATAAAGTAAAATAAATTTTCTTGATCTTATAGTAAATACATAGTAAAAGTATAATAAATATATAAATCCAAATTTAAAATTTAATCTTAATATCTCTTTTTTCCCCCTGGAACGTAGGCAAAAAAAGAAACGAGTTCGCTTTTCGGCAAGCGAAAAAATAAATTGTAATTAATTTTATATTAAAAAATTAACAAGTAAAAATTGGCAAGTAAAAACCAATAAGGCATTCGTATTTAATGTATATACTATGATGAGCAAATATAAAATTTGAAATATACTAATAAATAAATATACTAAAACTAAAAGAAAAATGGTAGTGTTTTTTTCCTCTTTCTTGCGCTTCAATTACTATATCTTATTAGCTCTTATTTGACTATTTTCAATTAAATTTTTATTATTTACATCCATTTTTTACTTTAATTTTTAATTTTATGTGAAACTGATGCATAATTATCCGTATCTGGCTCTTATTGGTCACAAAAATTCAAATTCGTGTCTTTACATATAAAGCCTTATTAATCTCCTGATTGCTCACATTAACTTTATTTGAAATAACATTTTGTAAACAGTTGCACCAATGCTACAGTAATTGCCACAGTAACTTCCAAGTAAATTATAATCTATATAAATAGTCTCATATATTGTATAGTCACAAGACTATGCAAAATTCACAAGATTGATAGAAATAAATGAAGAACACATATCCCTCTCTTGAATTAATAATTTTATGACTTATTATAAGAGATCAATAAAAGTTTATTATAGTTAAGTTTAGTATTTATAGAATTCTGTATATTAAGTTGGATGTATATCAAATAGTATCAATCAATATTTTATCAATATCAATCAATATTAATTTTACTCATTTATGCAAACTAACTTTTATATCGCATATAAAATTCTAATAATTATTATTGTCGTGTTCGTTAACAAAACGCCGCAAAAGATTTAGCACGTCTTATGTTGATTTACTTAAAAAATGTCTATTTTTCGTTACAGTTAAATACATCTTATGAAAAATTATTTTATATATACACACATACATAAACACACACACACACACACACACACACACACACGCACACATATGTGTATATATATATATATATATATATATATATATATTATTATTATTCAATTTACTTATAATTTTATTATAAGTATTTGTTATAGTTCGAGACTATAACCACATCAATTAATTAATTAATTTATTAATTAATTTAATAATTCCTTTCAAACGAGTGGAATATTTGCGAATCGCGTATCATTTACCTCAGCGAACTATATGCGAGCTCGCTGAGCCGGCAGAAATGCAAGCAAAGGGGTTCGACTTTGAACCATCTTTGCTTGCACTAATTGTGATTTTCACCTAAGATTACCTTGACCGTATATGGTCATATTGCTAGGCGATCCCCTCCGAGTTTTGACAAAATCAGGGGAATAAAAACCGTCCACTGCGAACGCGCAACGGACAGTCAATCACTAAATCAACATAAGTGCAGACCATAGGGCAGTGTAAGGATGAATAAAAATAATCCAAATGCGCTAACAAGTCAAGAAAATGGTAAAGAAAATTACAGAAGAAGATTGTGTTAAAAACTGTATATTTGAGGCAAATAAAAACTATTGAAATTACAAAGAACCCAAAATTCTAAACTAATCCCTGCGACTACATCCAGCACCCGAAACCTCCCAAAACCTTACGACGGTACCTAACATGATTCTAGACCGTCTCGACCACAACATATTAATATATAGAGACGGATCTATATTCTATGTGTAACGTAAAATATAATTATTATATTTGAATAAAAAGAATAAAATTATGAAGAATAAAGTTAGAGAGATATTAATGTAAAGAATGTGTGTAAAACAATATCTTATAATAATATCTTATTTTCAAAAAAACAGAAAACGGAAAATTTCTAACAAGTTTTAAAATTAATATCAGAAATCAATAAACATATACATAAATATACGTGTTGCAATTGTTATGATTAATTATAATTATTTAATAATTTTAATTTCTCTTTTATATTAGGTGGTAGAAATGAGGCAAATGTTTCTAACCGTCCCATGCGTTCTATTATTTTGTCTTGAACATCTTTGAATACTTTCTCTTCAAATTCATTTCTTACAAATTCGCTTATCTGAAAATAATTTCATTTATGCTTATTAAAAATTTAAGAGAATGTTGTATTATGTAATAAAAGCATGATACGACAACTTCAGCTAAATTTCATCATTCTATATAAATCTAATGTACTAACAGATTAATGTAAAACATATATATATATATATATATATATATATATATATATATAATTATTACTTAGAAATAAATTTTCGCCTTTTTGTATCATTTCATCAAATTTTTAAAAATATATTTAATGCATTTATTTAATAAAACTAAAAATATTTTTCCATTTTAGTTATAACATTTTAATAACAATAGTACTTTATCGAAAAATTATAAAATCTACAATTTTATATAAAAAATAGAGTAAATAAATTTAAATATAAGTAAATAAAAATATAAAATTTAAAATAATAAAATTTACCTCGTCAAGTTTGTCTATAGAATACACATTGTTAATTATATAAGTTAATATAAAATAACTTGTATCGAACTTTCTGCAAAAAATAAAAAAATAGATAAATGGATAAAAATTTAAAAATAATGGATAAATACAAAAAACAATATGTGCTTTACAATTAATATGTGTTATTAAAATACCTTGGAAGTATTTTTTTAAAATTTGTTAATATATAATCGACTATTACATTATTTTTAGCGTGTTGTCTGATAATAGAAAAATAAATTATATATCCATTTTGTAGTCTTGAACTGTTCGATATGAATATGTCCAAGACATTAATTATATTGTCAGTATTTTCAGAGCAAGCTAAGTACTTCAAAATCTCTTCATTTAGTTTATTTATATATATATTGTATAACTTATTCCAAATAGAAACATTTGCTTCCATCAAGCCATTACAATATGTCCATTCTTTTAAATTTACCGGAACTCTATAACATATAATAAAAAAATTGACATGTATAATTACACACACACACACACCACACACACACACCACACACACACACACACACACACACACACACACACACACGTACGTACGTATGTATGTATGTATGTATGTAAGTATAAGTGTGAATATGTATACAAAATGCTAATAATTTATTAAATACTTTGTCACATATATATTCATATTAATTTATTAGAATTTAATGAAGTAAATTACTTGTGTGTTTTAGGATCTGAGAGATGTTCATTCAGATTAACAGTGGCCATTCTCTTGCATTCGGAATGACCCAAAGTACATGCCCATTTTAAAGCTTTGGTTCTCAGAAATTTCGTAAAGTCATTATCGAAAGGATCTTCTTCATATCCTATGTTCTTAATAAGTCCATCCAAAATTTTAAGCATGTATGACTAAAAAAATCGTAGAATAATTTTATATTGGTTTGTAATTGATATATGAACATTTATCTTATGAACTAGATGCACGTGTACACACACACACACACACACACACACACACACACACACACACACACACACACACACACACACACACACCACCGGACTCACGCACGCCCGTATGCATGCATGCACGTGCGTATATATATTTCTTTATTTTAAGTGATTATGTGACTATTTACTTTGAGATGTTCATTTTCTGGAATATTGTAAATATCTTCTGTAAGACTTAATATTTCAAACATAGAATGCCATGGTATATACTCTGTTTCCTGTGATAGATAGCCTATTAGATTTAAAAACATCATGATATCAAGTTGATTTTTCATCATAAAATGACAGGCGTCATCGATGATTTGAGCACGATTGAGTACATGGATTTTCGTATAGTCGTCAGATTTAAGATAATCCACAATTTTTTGCCAAATGGAAGAATCGTAATTAACACGATAATATCCTATTGAAATTAAATAATATTGTAAATTATGCTATAAATTTATTAAATAATTTATTTAAAAAAAAAATTAATTTAATTTAATTTAATTTATTTATTAATAAATTATATTAATATATGTACATGTATATCATACTTTTCTCTTATTTTGTTACATTTATATATGTGTGTTAAAAATTTATATTATATACATTATAAACGTAAATATTATAAAAAGTTTATACAAAATAAAAATAAAAATAGAATTTTATAGAAAATAAATAGAAATAAATAATATGTAAAAATGATGATAAACGATTAATTATAAATTTAATGATTATTGGTCTTCATGAATAGAAAAGTAAATCCGTATTTAAAAATTTACACTAAAATAATATGGAGTATATTAAAGATACTCACCCGTTTGTTGTAAATTCACAATAATCCAATCATTTTGATCAATTCCATCAATCGTTATATTTCGATCTTGCGGTTTTAGCCAATGAGTGGGTAAGGTATTAGAAAAATCAGGATTTGTTTGCGTAGCAAAAGTCAAAGGTATCCACCATTTGTTATCATTCTTACTTTTATTTTTCAGAACAAAATGTTCTTGTGTTAATATTATCTCATTGGTATCTTTTTTTCGGGTTACATGTACTACAGGGAAATCCGATTGTTTTATCCAAGTATCCATTACCTCTTTCAATCTATAAGCATTATGCGGGACATCTGATTTATCTAGCACTGCTTGCAAAGCGTTCCATAAATCGTCGGAAGTAGCCGAACTGAACGGACTAAATTATAAAGATAATTATAAAAGATTATAAAAGATAGATTTGTTAAAAAAATTATATTACAATAAGTCACATAAATATAAATAAATAATCCATAATTAAAATTGTTTCATATATTTTATATCGAAGCATTAAAATGTAATAATGATTTATTTCTTTTTATTCTGAGAATGATTAAAACAAAATTTTGCAAAATTCTCAAGGATTATCTGCAATGCTTAACTTCTTACAATTTTTTACATTTTATAAGTTATCGTTATTTAAAAGTTTTAATAATAAAATTTTAATAATAAAATTTTTTATTTTCTGATAATTATTAAATTATTGCGTTGTTTATTGAAACATATAAAAAGTTTATTGAAAAGTGTAAAAAATTATTCCTGTAGAAATGTAAAAAATAGTTACTAATTATTCATTTTGAAATGTAAAAATTGTTTAATTTGTATAGTGTTTCATTGATAGATTTATATATGAGCAACTTAACAATAAAACATCATTTTAACCTATTTACTTTTACGTTGAATTGCTATTACATTGAATTTCATTAAAATTGTTTAGATTAAAAGATAAATATATTACTTACTGCGTGTGTAAATATTTAATAAGACCATTTCGAAATACCTCATCGGTAAGTGTATGTTGTAACATGCGCAGTATAGCAGGTGCTGTAATAATAATAAATAAATAAATAAATATAAAAATCGATATATGGTAAAATACATTAGAAAAATCCATGATAAAATTCATAAATTTGTGAACATAGCTAATAAAAGAGATTGATCATTGTGATAGAGAGTACATTTTAACAGAAAAACATTTATTTTATTTTGTTGTTTTTTTTACTTTAGATCATCTATGTTCGGAAATTTGAGCTTGATGATTTATTTATTCTATCTTACCCTTGTAATAATTGATGGAAACGAAATCTGATTCAATTTCTTCGGGTCTATTGATTTCTGATGTAATTGGACTAATACACATATTAATATCATCGTGAAGACTCCTTTGCTGAATATTAACAACAAAGTATTCCATTATTCGCCACTCCTTGAAAATCTAAAATATACATAAATTTTAATAATTAAATAAAGTTTGATTGAAATTAAAAATGTCAACATTATGAATTAATAATAGAATATCAGTTATGATACTATATAATAATTAGTTTTTAAAGAAATCGCTTTCACCTTATTTTAAACTTTAAGTAATTGTAATCTAAAATTACACAGACCACCGGAATTTTAAAGTTGATTAGCTACAAAAGGCAGAGTAGGTGAACCTGATAGATTTTTTGACACTGAAAATGAATCTAGTCGCAAAATTTCTCCAGCATGTCAGATTTTTGAGTAATTTATAAATAATCCAAATATGGCAATTTCGGCAAATTTCATAAATTTATTATGGGAAAGTTTTTTGAAATATTTCTGTTAATGGCATCGTATATTATTAATCTTCACCTTTTAAATCAATTTTCAATTGTTTCTGCACGATTTTTTTTCGTTGAGATATACAAGTCATAAGACTGATCATACATAGTGTCCAATAACCCTAATAGCATTCATGTCCGAAAGATGTCCAAAGAACATCAGAGAATATTTAAGATATCTTCTGGATGTTCTTTAGACATCTTTTACACATGTGTGCTGTTAGGGAAGTCATTCTAAGCCGTGTTATCTCTGTTCTTATCATTAATCAAAATTTTATAAAAACATAAATTTTTGGACGCCGTCTGTCATTTTTTGAAATTAAAAATGGCACATCTATTATGACGGACGGAATCATAATAAAAAGGTATAAAATTTAGAAAAATTTATCAAAATGCAACAAACTGTATTGAATATATTTTTACAGAACCTTTTTTAGGCAACTGAACCTGACATATGTAAGCCTTTTCAAATTTTAAGATGATGGATCTGCCATATTGATGTTAATGTACATATAAATTTTCTTTAACGTAAATTTTTTTTTTAAATTCATACTTGTATATCTCAGCGAAAAAAAATCGTGTAGCAACAATCAAAAATGTATTCGAAAGGTAAGATTAGCACTATATACGATGCCATTGGTAAGAATATTTCAAAAAAATTAGGTTCTTGTATAATAAATTCATGAAATTCGTCGAAATTGCCATTTTTGGACAATTTAACTATAAATTACTCGAGAATTTGACGTGCTAGGAAAATTCTGCGACTAATTCGTTACCACGTCAAAAAATTTATCAGATTCACCTACTCTGCTTTTTTGTAATTCGATTCATTCCTTTTTATCATATAAAAGTTTGAAGAATTCAGCTGTATTATTTATATTTGAATTTAAACAGAAATTTATCGAATGTTCAGTTATATGCAAATAAAACTTATTGAACCTACCTGATTGAGAATATAATCTTCGAAGAATATCGCCAACCCCTCCCTTACCCATAAATGAGACCACCATGATGGAGTGACTACATTTACCAAACCATTGATGTGCATTTCACGTACTGTTGTCCTCGCTACATTTAGTTTGTAGATATTGTATTGAAACTTTCATTGTATGCAGACTTGTTTTCACTAAAATTACATAATGCAGATATATCATTTCAGTATGTATATAATTTATGATTATGTAATATATCTAATATAAAACATTATTTTTAAATAATTGTATATAATTTAAAATTTATATTAATATTCATAAAAATTTTTGTAATTAACATGTATATATACAGAGTGTCCCATTTAAAAGAACGCACTCGATAATTCTTCAACAAACATTTTCGCAAAAATGTTTTCAGTCAATTGCAATTACAATTAAATATTTTTCATAAAAATAACTATATTCTTTCTTTACACCAATTGATTTATCTCATTATTTTGCACATAAAAGTTATTAAAGTAACAATCGAAAAATGAATATTTTACTAGAATATTTTATGTACAAATTCGGAAACTTACTTCAAATCTATAACTCGAAAAGTGCTCAATGAAAAAATACTTAATTATAATGTTTTGGAAAGATCTTTAAATAAGCATATAGAATATGCAATAAAAAGTGGGGAGTTGTACCTTGAGTACTTCATCCAAGGTCAAAATTCCTACTCATTATTAAGTACATTTTTTATTTAGTCCTAAAACTCTGTTTCTTACAAATTTTTCATTATAGTTGATCGTTTTGAATATTTAGCGTTCCGGGATTTTTGAACATTCCTGTATAATATATATTATATGTGTGTGTGTGTGTGCCGTTGCGCGCGCGCGCCGCGCGTGTGCACCGGCGCATTTATTACTTTAAATTTTAAAATTATTTAAAAGAAACAAATTTTATTTTTGATTTCATCTTAATTTATTTAAATAACCAAACATTTTAAAACTATTTTTTTCATAAAAAAATAATTTCTATTATTTNTGAGAGAGATTCGTCTGAAATTTTCTTGCATTTTTGTACTGTTCTCTGTTTTTAATGATATGGCCGAAGTTTCCCGACAGTGGCTTAATGTTTCATTTTCCCAGGAAAATGCTCGGTTGTGTAGGACCTGTGGCTTGTCTCCGCGTTCACCGGATTTAATTACCCATATTAAATTTATTTTAAATGGGGGTGCTCTAAAGCAAAAAATACATGAAGTGCGTGTTAAGACTTTAATTCAATTAAAACGGAGAATAATACAAGGGGTGCAAAAAAATTCAGAATGCACAATGGTCAGTCAGCCACTTGCTGTTCTTATTGATAAGTGTAATGCTTGTCCAGCTTGGAGGTCATTATTTTTGAACAAAAATATGTATTTAATAATTAAATTAAAATGAATTACTGTAAAGCAATAAAGAGGATAAACCTTAAATTATTTCGACATTATTTACTTCCATAGTTCTATAACTTAAAAGTCAATATTCTCTTCACTAAGCGTTTACGAAGCAAATTTCCAGCATTAAATTTTCTATGTTTGAGATTCTGAATTCATATTTAAAGTTTTGCCATTTAATCCGGAAGCATTCCCGTATTAATAATTTTATTTGTTTAAACAATAAAGTTTGTTGAAAACTTATCCTCATTATTGCTGTGTTTATTTATAACTCTTTTCACAGGATAATAAAAACGAAATAATTAAATAATACCAATATAAATAATAAATAGCTAATAATTAAAGAGAAAAGAGAAAGGAGAAGGAACAGAGGAAAAAGAGAACTTTCTTCTTTTACGTATTGGCATAGTAAAATAAAACCTGCATAGACAGATATTAAAAGTATTATTTTTATTTATTTTACACATTTTACCTATATCCCTATATGAGATCAGACATTTGCGTGTGATAGCGCCAATCAAAAAAACAGGATACCCGAAGTACATCACAAAATGCTAATAAACTTTTTCTGTCATGCGAAGTAATTGTTAGGAGTTATTCGGTGAGTATGTTTGTTAAGCGTACATAGTTTTTGTGAGAGAAAGAACGTGGGATAGTGTAAAGGGCTGGACGGAGAGGTGATAAGACTCATATCTCTTTAGGGCATTTTTAGCATTTCTCCCGAAATGAAGTCACGCAATGGTATTCAATTCATATATGTATGGTCGTTTAATTTTATGGTGTCTTAATCTAAATGCTTCTCTTCCAAAGTCACTTGTCATCTTTGCTTCACTGTGCCGTATTATAAATTCGCGAACAAATCGATCAGTATACAAAAATCTACATAGAGGTAATTTGAAAAAGTCTCATATTTTCTTGTTTTTCCTCCTTTATGATTTAATCTCAATTTTCTCGCTAAGTTAATAATAAATTTTTGTATGTATAGTGTGTCCACAATTCTATTTAAATAAAATGTGCCAAATTAATTAGAAACAATTAACAAAATGAAAACTTGTTCTTAAGTTACTTTATTTAGAAACTGAAGTCTTAGTATATCTATGTAGTATAATTAGTGAAAGAAAAGATTTTTTAAAGACAATTTATTCTTTAATAATATGTTTTCTTATTTTTTGTGTGGATAGTAAATTGTTGAAATGAGTTCAGCAAGCTACTAATTAAAGATTGTTTAAAATTATTGAAAGATTGTAAATTAATGAAATTCTTTAAAAAAACCAAACATAGATGCTATTAAATTAGAGTTATTATATCAAATTACATATATTGATAAACATAAAAAGATACACATATTGATAAACATAAAAAGATTCAATAATGTTATCATATCATCTTCGCAATTTTTACATGAACTTGGTAAATATTCCGTATCTTTAATTGCTTATAAAATAATAGTTAAATCAGACACAATGCATAATATGCAACAAATAAAATTCTTTTTTAAACTTTACAAAATACAAATGTTTTTATAAACTTTACAAATACATTCTCTCATCATTTAGGATCTTCCTCTTTATACTATACTTAAATTACAATATCTATTTTTAAGTAAAGCTGCTTATATTTGAATTTCAATCACAAATTTTTCATTAAAAATTTTTTAATGAAATAGTATGAATTTAATGACATTTTAATTTAAAGTAACATACCTTAGTTTAGTGGTACTTTTTTCTTAGGATGCCGGTTATACTTTATATGGACCAAAGTTCTTGATGAATCATGATCTTGTACTTCCATTCCGCTACAAAAGTGTCAAGTATAAAGATTGCGTGGAACATGTCAAAAATTCATCAATTGCCACATGTATCGGTGACTGCTACCACTTGCATTATACGAACAAGGATAATGATTTTGTTAGATCAAAAAATGCTGCATCAAATGTTACGGTCGTATGTCACCCGTGAGAATTGGCCACTGTACAATTGCACGAATGATATCATACATCGGATGATGCAGGCTGGATTGATTAGAAAAAGTGAAGATGACATTCTCTGGGAAGTAAAACGCGAGGAAGAGAGAAGAAACGTTTTAACGAAAAAAAGTTTCCATGTAATAACGCTAAAGCAGCTCGCATTCAGTTTTTATTTTCTTGGATTTGGATACGCTTGTGCTATCATGGTCTTTGTGTTGGAGTTGGCAATCGGTGGTTTCTATTCCCGTATGGTCAAACAGGAAAGTACGTGAAGAAAGAAAAAAAGAATGCGAGAAAGAAAAGTGAATTTAAAACGGACAGTAAACTTTCAATATTTGGCATTAAAAACCGACTTAGAATTCAAAAGAAAGCTTCGAATTAAAAGATTATATGAACGCAAGGTATACTCAAAAGAAGAAACAGTGCATATTTAAATCATGCACATTGACAGAGAACGAAGATCAAGAACGATACGCATCGAAATATTAATTTGTATACTTTTGAGTTTAATCATGAATTCCTTATGGAGGAAATCATCAAGGGAATTAATAGAATATTTATGACAAAGCGACAGGTTAGACTGAATCGTTTAAATCAGAAATACAGAAAGAGAATTAAAACCGAGGCTTGATATTTGTTTTCTATATTTTGTTTTTCATATTCGATGTCTTCGATGTATTGATATTTCGGAGTTATTTCGATTACACGTTAAAGTAAATTGTACAAAAAAAAAAGAAAGATAAAGAAGAGAATGAAAAGATATGAATGTATGGAAAGGATGAGCAAAATATTCGATGATGAAAAACATTTAATCATATTTTTGTTTTGATCAATTTTTTTATTCTAAACTTAAAATTGGAAAGGAATTAGGCTCGTTATGTATCAAACAAACAAATAAGAAAACTGGCGTATCCGAGCCATAGCGGATGGTAATGCCTAAAAATACTTTAACTGTACGCGAAAATGTAAACGAGAACAAGGCATATGCATATATTTTACTTGGTGCATTTACCAAGATATATAGATTCTCATTTTTGAGAAATTCTATAAAAACCCTCTTTACCTGAAGAGATGTAGACGAGAAAAATATCGGTGCGAAGTCGCTGAATCGGGAATCGAACCTATCGTTTCATTTTCCATAGTTATATACAAATAGGGTGAGAGTGAGTGATATCGGTGTGGGGCTGAATAGCTCAGTGGTAAGAGCAGTCGCTCGGCAAGCGAAAGACTCGGGTTCGATTCCCGATTCAGCGACTTCGCCCCGATATTTTTAAGAACAATAATAAAATGCCCGCAAAAATTGTTCAATTAAACCGGTGATACATATAGAAAGAGAATGTGTTAGAACGATCTTTCTGTATTATTTGTACATTGGTGCAAAAGTTTACAATTTTCTTTCAGAAATGAAGGAGGCCAATCATTATTCGTCTGATTGCTCTTTCCGAGCAATTCCATTTTAGTTCCATATATTTTTCGTATTATCGCGGGTGATATTAATCGAGAATGAAGAAATGCGAACATTAATATTAATGATCCAATCGTTGCATTAAAAAGGCAATTTTTTAACTAAGTCCGTGCACGTTCCAGATTGCTTTATTTTTTAAACTCGTTTAGTCGAAGGCTGCGTAATGACATCGATAAATAATCGCTGTCCAAAATAATGCCTTATTATAAATATTTCATGTTCTTTAAAAAAACAACTATCTCATTTATGCAATTTTTAATAGATT